ACTTTATAGAAACTTACGGCAATGCTGGTACAAACGGAGATCTCCTTGTCAAGAAATTCGTTCATTCCCTCACAGAATATGCATTGGATTGGTACACAGATCTCAAAGCTGGAGGTATTGACAGTTGGGAGCAGATGGAACGAGAATTTCTCAACCGTTTCTACAGTGCTCGTCGTACTGTAGGTATGTTGGAGCTTACAAACACAAAACAGATGAAGGGTGAACCCGTGGTTAACTACATCAACCGTTGGCGAGCTCTAAGTCTTCACTGCAAGGATCGTTTATCTGAAATTTCTGTAATTGAAGCATGTATGCAAGATATGCGTTGGGAGCTTCTTTACATCCTACAAGGGATTAAGCCTCGCATATTTGAAGAGCTTGTTACTCGAGCCCATGACATGGAGCTTAGCATGGAAAATCACGGTGTTAGGGAAGATGTTCCTGATATACCCGACAACCTTCAAGAAGATGAGAGAAGTGAGTCCGAAGAAGAAGACAATATACTTCCTAACTTGGATGACGAAATAGCTTCAGCTTTCATTATAAGCATCATCTCGAGAGACTTGCATCAAGAAATGCACCATGCTACAACAATGACTTCAACTGAAAGTGCAAAATCACAGGGGGCATTAAGTCAAGGAAACCAAGAAGAAAATCCTCAAAATGACGACGAGATAGTCCGTACCCTTTAGCATAGGTTTGGATTGCCGTTTAATTCTTGCATAGTTGAAGAATAATTAAAGTTGAAGTGGTCCCAGATACGAGCCTAAACTGTCGATGACACTCCTTGACATGAGTGTAAACTATTTACCAGAAGAAAAAAAAAATCAAAAACTCCTTGATACGAGTTTAAACTGTCTCCCAAAAAAAAAAAAAAAAATGACACTTCTTGACACGAGTTCAAACTGTCTACCTGGAAAAAAAAAATATCAAGAACTCCTTGATATGAGTTTAAACTGTCTTCCAAAAAAAAATGGCACTCCTTGACACGAGTTTAAATTGTCTACCTAAAGAAAAAAAAAAAAAAAAAAATGACATTCGTTGACACGAGTTTAAACTTTCTACCTGAATATATATATATATATATATATATATATATATATATATAACTCCTTGACATGAGTATAAACTGTCTACCTGGAAGAAAAAAAATCAAGAACTCCTTGATACAAGTTTAAACTGTCTCCCAAAAAAAAAAAAAAAAAATGACACTCCTTGACACGAGTTTAAACTGTCTACCTGAAAATAAAAAAATAAATCAAGAACTCTTTTATACGAGTATAAACTGTCTGGAAGAAGAAAAAAAAAATTGAATTACGTGATGACTTGATCCCTTTTTTGAGGGTACGTAGGCAGTTAGAATTTTATTCTAAGTTCAAGATAATGAAAAAAAAAACCCTTAGAGTTGCAAAATGGCAAAGTGTGTTCGTCACGAGATATCAAAAGAGCTAGTCTCAATTTGTCAACTTCACTTGCTGTCAAGATATTGTTGTCACTCATCATGCAATATCAAAAGTGCTCGTCGTACCCTGTCAACTTGGCATGCCACCGAATTGTAGCTGTAAACAATAATTTTGCTCACCGTCGATCTATTGCTGAAAGAGAAATTTGGCTTTCCGTTGAGGTGTCGTTAAAAAAATCTGCTAGCTGGCGAGGTATTGCTGAAAGAGAAATTTGGCATTCCGCTGAGGTGTCATTAAAAAAGAATTTCTGCTCACCACCGAGGTATTGCTAAAAAAAGATTTTGACTTTCCGCTGAGGTGTCATTGAAGAAAAAAAAAAATTAGGCCCACCGCCAAAGTGTAGCTGCAAACAATAAAACTATGAAGAATATTAGTGGCTGGACACCAACATTCGATGAATGCTTTGAATACATCTCCATGGTGATCATATGAAGACAACTCGCCGATAGAACCATGAAGAATATTAGTGGCTGGGCACGACATTCGAGGAATGCTTTGAATACATCTCTACGGTGATCATATAAAGACAGCTCGCCAATAGAACAATGAAGAGTATTAGTGGCTAGACACTAACATTCAAGGAATGCCTTGAATACATCTTCATGGTGATCATATGAAAATAGGGAGGCCAATAGAGCACTATATAGTTGTTGTTTTAATCGAAAGTCGTGAAAACGCACCAAGACATCTTCTAACCACTCCCAATATAGTTCGGTGTGTGGCAATGCAGCAGAAAGTATACAAGGAATACTCCATGATACTTCCTTCGCCTAAACATTAAGAACCAAGAGTGAAAACTGATTTTCTTCAACAACTCTATCATGAAGTGAAGAATTTAGTATCAAGGCTTCAGAGACAATAGATTCTTCATTAATCTGATCAAGACCAAAAGTTGGTGAGTTTGCATGTGGCCGTGCATGTCCAATGAGATGAACAATGTTCATTGTTAGGATCAGGCACTTGAATGGCATTGCAACCGAGAAGGGAGTCAGATACACTTAATGTGGTTCCTTGGCTTCTTCGACTATTTTTGCTATCTAAGATAGTCATCTTCTGCTTTATAAAACATTTGAATACTACCATGATGGAACAACAAACAAATTTTGAAGCTCGATCGGTATTGTCTAGAAGGAATATTTCAATTTCTGCTACAGTTGACAAAATCAAGTTGCTATACCCAATCAAACCCTTCAAAAAAAAAAAAAGCGATCTAGCGTGGAAAAAAAAAAAAAAACAGAGAGAGAGAGAAAAGTCATACCAATTATTTGTTCGATGCAACACAATCTTTAGAGGTTGTAATCAGACAAGTTTTCAACAACATTGAAATTGATGTTTAACCCTATAGCATGGATAGGTATATATAGATAATAAAATATATTCTATTTGTACTGGGATTTGTATAATTCAGTTCAAATGGGAAAGTAAAATTCTAATCCAAAATTGGATAGGAAAGGGAAAGAGGAAATCTTATAATCCAAAGTTGAATAGGAAAGCCTTTTACAATTCAAAAACCAAATTGGATACTTCAAGTCCCACTTGAAAAATGAGACAAGTCCTGTCAAACATGGGACTCAAAGTGGGGGCAATTTGTAGACACTAAAATTTTAATGGACTTTTATTTTGACAAATTGACCAATTAAATATGGGTTAATATTTAATTAAGTTATTTAATTGGCTCAAGCTTAGTCCACTTAAATTATTTAATTAGCCCAGCCCAGATGATTAAATAAAAAGATAATTATTCCTAATAAAATATATTTGGAATAATTGTTTTTAAGGAAAATTATCATATATACCCGCCCCGGCCCAGTTATGATTTTATCCTTATCAGGAGATGACACGTGTCATCATCTTATAGATCCAAGAAGCCTATAAATAGAGGCCTGAAGGAAGAAGGAAAGGGTACACAAATTCAGAAAATCCAGAGGGTCCAGAAATTGAGAGACTCAAAAATTCAAAGTGGACACAAATTCAGAATTCCAGAGAGAAATCTCATCTCTAACATCCAAACCCAAAAGCGAAGAACACCAAGCACATCAAATCGTGCCGTTCTTCATCAATTTCCACGGTGATCAACAACAAGCACATCAAATCGTACCGTTTTCATCCAAATTCCACGGTGATTCAAGATCAAAGATCAAGCTCGTGCAGCCATTGGATCCAACCAACAAAAAAAGGAGATCGAATCAGAGAACCTTATTCTTTGTAACGAATATTACAGAGGATTGTACTCCAAATTTTTTTTCCCAAATTTAGTAAAATATTATTTTTGCTCCCTATTTTGTTCTTATTTGGAGATTAAAAATTTGTGTGTACAGTGTTTATAGTGGGCACAACTGCAGTTAGTTGGGTTTCGCAAATACAAAGGATTGTAGCGTTATCTACTACAGAGGAAAAATATGTGGCGATGACAGAGGCCAACAAGGAGATGATTTGGTTACAAGGTTTGTTGATAGAGTTGGGATTTGAACAAGTGAAGAATGTTTTGCACAGTAATAGTCAGAGTGCGATATATCTAGCAAAGAATTCAGCATTTCATTCAAGGACCAAGCATATAGGACTTCGGTATCACTTCATCAGATCTTTGTTAGAAATTGGGGTGTTGACATTTAAGAAAATACTTGGCACCAAGAATCCAGCTGACATGTTGACCAAGACAGTGACCATGGAGAAACTGAAGTTTTGCGCAGCTTCAATCGGTCTTCTAGCTTGAAGACAGAGAGAAGCGCACCGACATGCATGAGAAGAGGACGGAATGAGTTTACAAGTGCTTCAACCTCCAAGTGGGAGATTGTTGTGGTTTTGTGGAGTATGATTAGGTAATTGATTTTTTAGGAAGATTTAATTATATGGAAACTTCAAGACTGCTGAAGTTTAGGGAAAATTCAGTTTCCTGATCTGATTTAACTTCCTTATTGGATTTGGATTCTACAAAAGTCAAGTTCTTGTAAGACAAGTTTGGGACTCTATAAATATTAACTCTAATCAGGTTATAGAGTGTGTGAGAGTTAGAGATAAATTTGTGTCAATACAAGAGAGAGTAATTAAAAGAAAAATCTCCATTATAATTCTTCATCTTCTTCATAGTGAATTTGTTCGGCATGCACTATAGACGAAGCCCTAAGATTTGGGTGAACCATGTATATCTTGTGTTCTTGTGTGTGATTTTTTTATTCTTCGTGATTGCTTGTTTATTCATTAAACAGCGTTGTTTAATTTGCATTTCCGTCACAACAACGAGTATCAAATCCGGTTGATTGTGCAAAACAACTCCAACAGTGCAGAGAGTCAAATAAATAATATCTCTCGTGTATGTTTTTTTTTTTTTTTTTAAATATGCTTTTTACTTTTTGGTTACTATTTGTGACCCCGCCCTTTTTCTTTCTTTTTTTTTTTCTCATTAATCATGCTAATTAAAAAATAATAAAGTAGATAATGAGATTTGAGTTGCACACCAACAAAAAAAAAAAAAAAAGTCACGTCAACACTTTTTGTTAAAGTGTGCTTACGTGCTATCCACTATTTGACATGTCACTGTTTCAAAAGAACACTAAATGATAAGCAGACCTAGCATATATCCATAGTGTGGCATGTTACAAACAGCTTATATACTTTCCTACCATGCATAATACATACACCCAGAGCATTCCAGTTGAGAGAACCTAAAGTGATACACGAGTACACCCACGGATTGATGAACTAAACCATATGGTTTTAGGAGTACCACCAAAATGCCTTACAAATGAGCAGTAATAGATAGAGTGCCATGTACAAGAGTTAAAGAATGTCTTCCATGAGTAATTCCACAAATTGCATGGTTCTATCATATTGGCTGCTGACGGCAGTGGCAGTGGCAGTGGCAGTGGCAGTGGCAGTGGCAGTGACTGACGAATTCAGCATCAAGACTAACAAAAAATTAACCCTTTCGGAGGTTTGTGTAAAAGCCAAAATGATCACGCGGCGCTCAAGCAGTCCTCCCAAGTCCCATATTTTGAACTGAAGCACCCTCCACCTCTCTGCTGCGCGAATTCTGAAATAACTGTGCGTGCACAAACATCCCAAGTCTTTGCTATGTCCCCGAGTGACATGGGTTGTGAAAGGCCTCGGAGGGATATGCTAAACTTTGACTTTGCCTTCAGCGAGAGATCTTCGTACTCCCTGTTGTCACCCAATTGTTCAATCCAATTAAATCAGAAAAAATAACCCATTAATATTTGGGAGCAACCACAAAAAATTATAAAAAGGGAAAAGTTCTGAACTATTATGGTTGATAATCTCATTTCTTCATGATCCCTCATGAAGTGCATATTGTATACTCTTTCGTACAAACAAGGGCGAGCAAATAATGAGAAATCAGGGTCTCTATAAGTTAAAAATATAAAAGAATATGAAATCTGACTTATATTTAATTACAAAGTATTTTAGGTTATATCAGTTTCGTCTTCAAAAAATAAAAAATGGGGTAAGAATCTGCGGTGTTTTATTAATGAGATATCATAAGTGTTATCAACCATCTACTCTAAAAGCTTAAATTGTTAGAGAGGGTGTAACTTAAATATATAAATCCTTCAGCACGCCCCCTCATGTGGCCTTCTTTTGGTCAATTTTTTAATTAGGGTGACGGTGAGGTTTGAACTCAAGACATTTGACTTTGATACCATGTTAACAACCATCTACTCCAAAAGCTTAAGCTATTAAAGAGGCTGTAACCTAAATATATAAATCCTTCAACAATAAGCAAAAGTACATAAAATACCAATTATGTGAACTAGAGAATTGTTATTAATATATCAGAAACACAAGTAAGAAAGTTATTTATCAAGCATTGCAGACAATAATTCACAATAGAATTTCTGAACTAGCATGAATTGACAAGGAGCCTCAAGGCGTTTTTCCTGTGAGAAAACTTAACATTGCAAAATAGGTTGACCGTCTCAGTACGTACATTAAATGACAATGTAATATTTCCATTTTTCATCATTTTTCATTTTTCCGAAAAATTTTGTTGTTGCAAGGGCATTTTCGTCTTTTCACATTTTTCGTACCGGACACTGCGGAATGTATCGGTTATGTCTGAGAGTTGTTTGAAGCATTTCATTGAGTCCAGAACTCTTTGAAATGCAAAGATGATCATTTTTTCATTTTTCAATTTTTCGGGCCGGATGGTCCCGTGTGGGACCCATTACCAGAATTGTTGCATACAGGGATTTTATTTGAGTCCATTAGTATCACATGCATTTTATTTAATGTGTGACATAAAGTTGTGAAATTGTTAAATGTGTATATATATATGTGGTGTAAAATGAAAACAAAAGAAAAAGGGAAAATAAAAGAAAATTGGTGGGACCCACAGCCCCTTTTTAAGTAGTCATGAGGCCACATCTTGGTCTCCATTTTTGTTTCTTCTTTTCTTCCCCTCCCGCTAGTCTCTCTCTGCCCCCTCATTCTAGACTTTTCTTTTTTCTTTTGGCTTCCAATCTTCAATTCTTGATTACTCCTTCAATACTTGGTATTTTTTAGTGCCGTTTACGGCAAATTGAAGCTCACAACGAGATCTACAAGCTGATCGGAGCAATTTTTTTTTTTTGGTGCACTTGGGAATTTCAAGATCTAGGGCATTTAATTTGGGAGGTTTTGCTTAGATTGAGGTAGGGGTCTCTAATTCTCATATTTTTGTACTTTCGTGAATTTTTCCTATTTTAATTGTTGTCAAGTATGATTATTTTGAGTAGATTGTCCCTTGAATGACTTAATTGTGTATATGAAGCATGCAAATATGTGTATTTGTTAAATAGTATGAAAAGCATGCCTTATTTAAATTGTTTGCCTTGAAAATGATATAATTGTTGTACTAGAAAGTTTATGCTTATATGTGTTGATGGTATTATGTGAGAAGCATGCCTAAATGTTAATTTCCATGCCATGGTGTTTATTATTTTCCTAGAAATTTCTATGAAGAAGCATGTTAAATTGTGAAATGTAAATCTCCTCTATTTTTATACTATTGGAAAAATACATGGCATGCATCCATAGCATTGGGCATAAAAGAAAAGAGAAAAGTGTTTTGAAATGAAAGTGAAAGGGATTTTTAGGAAGAAATTTTGATAAAATGGTTTTTGAGAAAATCCGGTCGCCGCGGAGTTACCAAAGGGCCGTGGTGTTAATATAACCTGGAAGGAACTGGAGAAATTACTCCAGCATAGTTGAGCTAGCTGGGCCCCAAATGACGCCGCGGAAGTACCAAGGGTTAGGGACAGTAGCCAATCCTTCCCTCATGTCGCTGCGGAGTCACCAACGGACGGGTTATATTAACAGTTTGAAAAGTGATGGATGATTTTGAAAATGGGGAATGACATACATGGCGTTGCATCCATGGCACGGCATTTGCTTGCTTTGAACTTGAAAATTGATTTTGTGTTTTCCCTGGCTTGGTATGATCCCGCTCCCTATTGCCCTATTCATTGTTTGAATTCACGGAGTCACAAGAGGTGTGTCTTAGGCACCACCTACTGAGCTTTATGCTCACCCTATTATTTTAACATTTTTCAGGACATGGAAAAAAAGTAGTAGATAACGTTCCACCACATGCTTAATTTGGATTAGAAGATCATTTTGCTATTTTTGTATCTAAGTCTCACTATTTTTGTAAAACTTAGTATATTGTATTCTGTACGGAGACTTATGGACTCTTATTATTGTAATTATATTCATGAACTGTAAGTAGATGTAATTGAAGTAAAATTCTAGTATGTGAGCATGGGACTATCTATAAGGCAAGTACTCCTTTATTCTGGATGAATGGGATGATGATGATGGGCTATTTTGAGAAGGTTGTTGATGTTATTGTTTTGGGAATGTTTTATATTATTTGCATTGTGTGCTGGGACATGTTAGATAAATTTTCAATGTCCAAGAGAGGCCATTGTATTTTTATACATTTAAGCAGGTTGGCGTAGGACCCTTTCTAGCAGAGGTCATGCCGAAATTTTTTTATAATTGGTTTCAGTTTAGGGTTTTTACAGACAACCAAGAAATAGAAAGGAGACTGTAAGCCCAAAAACTAGGAAGTGAAACTAGAATATAGGATTATAAAAAATGAAGATGTTAAAACAAACAAGAAGGAAATAATATGGACTTTAGAAGATGAATTTAATATAATATGAAATTAGATGGTCAGAATTGTGAAAAGTACAGAGATTATTGGATAATGAAAAAGAAAAGAAGAAGATTGTTATCTAAGAAAACTTGGTGGTGGAATGAGAATGTCCAAGCCACAATAAATGTGAAAAGGGAGTGTTACAAATGTTTCCACAAAATGAGAAAAGAATTTGAAAATACAAATACGCATATAGGAAAGTCAAAACAAATAGAAAAAGAAGAAAAGTATGGAACATATGAAGATATTTATTTTAAATTACGTACAAAGGAACATGATTAATAAAATATACAAACTAGATAAGTTATGGGAGAGGAAAACTAGAAATTTACAACAGGCCAGCCTAGTGGTACTAGGCCCCCTACTTGCCAAAGGGAGATAAGGGATTCGAGCCTCAGTGGAAGCATGTGTGTGTGAGTACCAAGAAAAGGAAAAAAAAAAAAAACTGGGGGAGCAATTCATTCCCCTTAGGTCTAATTAACCGTACGTACTCAAAGCTTGGGTAACAATCCCCGTAGACTTCTCAAGGACACAAAATGGGAACATATAGAGGAGCAATATTACTACCATTATTAAAATTAACCACTAGACATGAAACAGATACCTACCAAAATTAAAAGAATTGAAAAATCTAAACAAGTCATATACGTGACGGCATTATAGTTATTACTCCTTTTTTTTTTTTTTAACAGATTAAATAATAGATATATATATATATATATATTTTTTTTTGATAAATAAGCAATTCATTAAAAGCGTTCAAAAGAGGAACGCATCCCTACAAGACCACAAAAACCTGGGTACACTAAGGCCCCAGGGAAGCCAAAAACTCAATAGTCTCCTCAGCAGAGGAACATAGTCTACCCAAACCCCAAAAAAAGATAGAGCTAGTAACAGAAGATTTGAAAACAGTGACTGAAGATTCCTCTCCTTCAAAGGATCTTCTATTCCGAAATAACAGAATGATAGGTATCACTAGTAGGGGAAAAAATAGTAATATATATGTACAAATAAGTAATGGAAATATTGTTATCATTAGTAATGGAAATATTGGCACAAAATATATAAAAATTAACATACCCATTTAGTGAAATGTGAAGGTAAGGTTTAAAGATATTCACCATGCCTCTTAAGTTTTGCATTAACCATGTTGTTACTAAACATTAATTCTAATATAGGATGCAATCAGTATTATGAAAGGTAATAGGGGAAAAAACACTAATATATGTACAAATAAGTAACGAAACTATTGTTATCATTAGTTAATATCATTCGTTATGGAACTATTGTTATGGATGCAATGATGCATAGATGTGAAAAGGGAGTGTTATAAACCTTTTCCACAAAATGATAAAAGAATAAACCTTTGAAAATCCAAATATGCATATAGGAGAGTCAAAACAAATAGAAAAAGAAGCAAAGTATAGAACATATGATGATATTTATTTTAAATTACGTACAAAGGAACAGGATTAATAAAATATACAAACTAGATAAGTTATGGGAGAGGAAAACTAGAGATTACCAACAAGCCAGTGTCCTAGCGGTACCAGGGTCCTACTTGCCAAAGGAAGGTCAGAGGTTCAAATCTCGGTGGAGGCATGTGTGTAAGAGTGCCAAAAAAAAAAAAAACACTACGGGAGTAATTCACTCCCCCTAGGTCTAACTAACCGTATGGTAACAATCCTGTAGACTTCTCAAGGACACAAAATGGGAACATATAAGGGAGCAATATTACTACCATTATTAAAATTAACCACTAGACATGAAACAGATACCTACCAAAATTAAAAGAATTGAAAAATCTAAACAAGTTATATCGGTGATGGCATTATAGTTATTACTCATTTTTTTGACAGATTGAATGATTGGTATTACTAGTATATGGCACAAAATGTAAACAAAATCACACACCCATAGTGAAATGTGAAGGTAAGGTTTAAAGATATTCACCATGCCTCTTAAGTTTTGCATTAACCATGTTGTTACTAAACATTAATTCTAATATAGGATGCAATAGGTACTATGATAGTAATAGGGGAAAAAACAGTAATATATATATACAAATAAGTAATGTAAATATTGTTATCATTAGTTAATATCATTAGTAATGGAACTATTGTTATCATTAGTTAATATCATTAGTTATGGAACTATTGTTATGGATGCATAGAGTGTTCTGTCCCACATCAGGTGTGTACTAGGTAGGTGGTACTGGAAAAAACCCTACAAATTTTCGATTCCTTTGGGTGTGGAACGGGCCCATTGTGATAGTGGTATGAGAGCCAACTGGTAGATGTGTTGTGTGTGTGCTAGGTGATCTTGGGGTTAACAAAAGAACATGGGGAACCCCGTATATTTCGAGTGTGGAACAAGCCCATTGTCGCCTAGCTGTGTGCTGCCCCACATTGGGTGTGCACTGGGTAGTCTTGGGGCAAATAAATGAGTGCAGAACCTCATAATGTGACTAGTACTTTTGGGTGTGAAACCAGCCAATTGTGACAACATGCTAAAAAAGTTGAGAAAAATATACAAGAAAACCAAAATTCAATGTTTCCTTACCTAGTTTCGATCAGGAACTTGTCGAGAAGTATTGGGGAGCAATTAGGATAATTTGTGGGAACAAGCAATCGTAAGGGCTGAATTGGAGACTGCACAGAAATAAAACAGAACATAAATACAACAAGAGAAAGGATAGAGCAATTAGGAGATAAATGGCACTTAGATTAAAACATTTAAAACTCACCATTTGTGGAGAAGCATACTGTGACTTCAAGTTTGGACCGAGAGCCACGGCACTGAAAGAGCACTTAACAATGGTTCCTTCACCACCTTCAGTAGCAGCTGCTGCTGCAGTTAGATCAACATCTTCATCACTGATATCTACCACTGTATCTATAAGTTGCTGATTAATCTCCCTTATTTCTTCCAAAAGGGCATGGTTAGCCTACAACAGGTGAGACATTAGTTCTTTACACTGAAAAATCCAAACGGCTGTGTGCCTCAAAGTTAACAGTTCTAGAACTAAATCAGTTCATATTTACAAGTTCTCTGCAGCAGCTTGTTTTCTACTTATACACACACACACGCACCCCAATGGTACAGTAGAAATATAAAAAGAAGAGAAAGGAGAGAATTGTGTAAAGGCTTGAATGAGATAAATCACTCATTCATAGCTCTAATATTTATAGATAAAAAGAGCACATACTCATATTACAAGAAAGGAAATTAAATCAAATCCATCACAGCATATTCTATAGCATATTCTATGGAATATTCTATAGCATAATCAAATCTTTGCTAATATGGTAAGTCATTCCATAAATTGTGGCTATCATATCTGCTAACAGGTACCAACAAGCATAATGAAATACTCTCTAGACATAGTTCAGTCTTTGAGGATGTTACAGTGGCTAGACTGCATCTAGACATAGATCAGAAGCAATTGACTGCTGGCATCTAGACATAGTTCAGAAGCAATTGGCTGCTGACCCCATGAATAATACTCTCATGTCTCAAGGAAATGAGACCAGAAATGCTCTATCAGCTGCTTTGAGTAATGAGGAGGTTGTCCTGGCTCAGAAAGCTAGGATTTCATGGCTGAAGGAGTAGGATAGGAAGTAGGAACTTGAAGTTCTTCTATCAGAAGATTAAGTAGAACGCAAATACTAATTCCATCTCTATTTTGCAGGATTAGCAGGATTCTTTTTCCACCAGTCAAGACTCTATTAAGCATTGGATAGTGGAATATTATCAAAATCTCTTCAAAGGTCATTTACCCATCGAAAGGATTTTATCTATGGAAGAGGCTGAAGGTTTGGAAGCTCCAGTCACTGAAGAAGTCAAGCCAGCCATATTTCTACAGGAGTTGACAAGGCCCCCAACAGTACTGGAATACAGTTGGTGGTGATGTGGTAGAGGCAGTTAGAAACTTTCTTGATTCCCCTCACTTGAGTAAGGGCTCTTACATTACATTTGTTCCTAAGAAGAAGCAGTCAAGATCTCTGAAATCGGACCTATATCACTATGTAATGCGCTATATAAGGTCATATCAAAACTGTTAGCTTGGAGATTAAGTTCCATTTTGGATAAAATTGTTGGGAAGGAGCCAAATGCTTTTACCAAGGGGAGAAAATTTCAGGATAATACTATAATTGCTCATTAATTGTTGAGGGGTTTTGGTCACAAACACGCTAAAGCACCCATGGCTTGGAAGGTAGACTTGCGAAAAGCATATGCCTATGTGCAGTGGCCTTTCTTGCTTCAACTAATGCAGTTTTGGTTTTGGTCAGAATTGGTCGACTTGGGTCAAGGAATGCTTCTGCTCAGTTTGGTTCTCCATTATTTTCAATGGCTCCCCCTGTGGATTTGTCCAACCAGAAAAAGGGCTTAGACAGGGGTGTCCATTATACCCTATCCTCTTAATATGGTTACTGCATATTTCTCTGGAATCTTGGAGGCTGAGGTTAGTGTTGTTAGGGGCTTATTTGTTATTACTTATATAATATTGAGGGTTATGTGTAATTTCTGAAACTTATTAGTATAAATAGAATGTGGTGGAAGGATGAAAGTATTCTTTCATTCTCTCTCTCTTTCCCCATCTCTCTCTCTTTTCTATCATCCTCCTCCTCTTTTTCTTCTTCTTCTTATACTTTACTCTTGATTTGATTTTATCTTAAAGTCAACATGGTATCAAAGCATGGTTTGTAAAGCTCTAGGTGTGTAGTTGAAACCCTAGGGCAAGTTTGTGTAAACCCCCGGTGTGAAGGGTTTTGAAGCAATTCCAAGATGGGATTTGTTTGCAAGGATGTAGTGTTAATCACATCCAGCTGTAACCAGATCCAACTGTTTTTGATCTATTGCAGTGTCGATTGGTGTTTTTTACGTGTTCGCGTGGTTCTACAACAACGGCTTTTTCTACGTCGTTCGCGATTCTGGTATGGTCTACTTCGTTGCTTTCTAGGGTTTGTGTGGTGACTGCGTGGTCGCTTTTTTATGCATCTCAGAAGACAGTAATCTTTCTAGTTGAAGTTTGTGTGTTAGAGAGGTGGTTCTCTACGTATTTTGTTGCTGCTTTTGTTTCTGAGGATTGTATACCCAAAAACTATTTGATAAATGTCTGGCTCAGAGGAGACTTCAAAAGAAGCTGGGTCTTCTCCTAGTCTGACTCCAATATTGGGACATAGTAGTGATCATCATCCAGGCCTTTGTATTACCATTGTTAGGCTGGATGAGACAAACTATATGAAGTGGGCTCAATCTGCTTGTATGCATATCACTGGTCGTAGGATGATCGACCATATCAAAGGGACTATCATGTATCCCTCCAAGAGTAATCCAGAATTCAAAGAGTGGAGTGCAAATAATGCACTAGTTATGACGTCGTTGTTGCAGTCAATGCAACCACATATCAGCAAAGGGTTTCTGTATGTGAAAACAACTAAAGAGCCATGGACGGCTGTGGAAGAGACGTATTCCTCGGTTAGTAATTTTGCAAAACTGTATGAACTCCAACAATAGATTTCAAGATTCAAGCAGGAAGACCAAACTCTTGCTACATATTACCACAGTCTACGTGGTAATGGGAAGAGTTAGATCACTACCAAGACCACATACCTGTGTGTGCAGCTGATGTTAAAGCATTTCATGCTATGGTAGAAAGGAATCGAATCTGAGTTCTTGGGTGGTTTGCATCCGAGATACGAGCATGCTAGGGTACAAGTGTTAGGCAAGTATCCAGCCCCTAATTCTTTTAGAGATGTGTTTTCGTATATCCAGGTTGAGGAGTAGAATGAAGGCTATGTTTGCACTTGTATACACTAAGCCTAAGCCAAAAGTACCATCGTCTGAGAGGTCTACTCTTGCCATACAACAATGGAACACACCCAATCCTTCAAAAGGAGGGAAGCAGGATGACAAGAGCAAGTTGAGGTGTGATCACTGTGGGCGTACCCGACTACCCGCCACACTAAGGAAATAGGAATCTACACGGTCACCCTACTCCAGCTCCTGCTCATGCGAATGCTAGGCCAAGGCCTGGTCCATTTAGAGGGTTATTTTGTTCGCGAATCAATAAAGTTGTATTGTGACAATAAGGCTACTATTAGCATTGCCCACAATCCAGTTCAACATGACAGGACAAAGCAAATTGAAATCGATCGACACTTCATCAAGGAAAAGCTTTGTCTTGGGCTGATTTGTACTCCATACGTCAACCTGATCAGGTTGATGATGGTGTGAGCATGGCTTGCTTGCAAAATATGTTAGTCAAGCTGGACATGATATATATCTTTGCACCAGCTTGAGAGGGAGTGTTGTCAGGGGCTTATTTGATATTACTTACGGAGTATATAATATTGGGGCTTATGTGTAATTTTTGAAATTTGTTAGTATAAATAGAATGTGGTGGAAGGATGAAAGTATTCTTTCATTCTCTCCCTTTCCCCATCTCTCTCTCTTTTCCTCTCATCCTCCTCTTTTTATTCTTCTTCTTATACTTTACTCTTGATTTGATTATATCTTAAAGTCAACTGTTAGAAAAGCGAACAATTGCAGTTTCTGATGCAGCTCTGCTGAAGTCAGGTTTGGTTCTCTCTCATCAATTAATTGCTGATGACTTGCTTCTTGTTGTGAGACTTAACATGGGGACCATTGTGAACCTTAAAAGAGTCGTGAAACATTTTGAGCACGCCTCTTTCCTTGCAGTCAGCTTAGGTAAGTCTGAAATGGGTTTACCAGCCAGAGTGGTTAATTGGATCCAGCAGTGCATTTCCACCCCCAAGTTTTCTGATTCCATTAATGGGGAGGGAGAGTTAAATGGCTTCTTTGCTAGCAATAGAGGCCTGAGACGAGGTCTATACAAGCCTTATCTCTTTGTTTTGGTAATGAAAGTGCTCACTGGAATGATCAAGGTGGCTTCTATGGACAATAGATTCAAGTTCCACCGGAGATGTAGAAAGTTGAGAATTATGTAAATTTTAGGGCTGCAAGGTACGCAATTTGCCCATTACCTATTTAGGCCTTCCTCTATCTAATAAGGGTGTGAAAAAAGCAGACAATCTGTGTTGCTGCTTCTAGATGGTAGGACCTAAATTTGGCCTTAGCCGGAATGGTAGAACTTGTGAGAACAGTGATTACCTCAATAGTGTACTACTTGAGTTCAAATTTTACCATTCCTACAGCTGTTATCAATTCCATTAAAACGAGGGTGAGGAATATTGTTTGGGGTCACAGTGAGGATACAAAGAAACTGGCTTCTCCTAGTGCAAAGGATGGTTTTGGATTGAGAAGGGTGAAGGAGGTGAATAAAGCTATCAAATGTGTGCTTACTAGGGATGTGGTGTTGAGCAAATAGGCTTTGGGTGGCTTGGTTTAGGAGAAAGCATTTGAAATCTTCTTCCTACTGGTGTTGTGTGCATATGCTTTCTACTTCAACTATTTGGAGGAGTATGGTTGGTGATAGGTATATTCTAATGCTATAGATCAGGTTCAGGATTGGGGATGGCTAGAAAATTATGTTGTTCCTTAATCGTTGGTGTGGGGCAGTTTCTTACCGACAGAGTTGGACACAGGGTTAGCAGAAGTTTGCATTCTCCAAGAAATGCCCATCCGAAGGAGCTTATTCAGAATATTGAGGGGAATTCTAATAGATTTAACTTAGAGGAATCTCAAGTACTGCAATTTCTTAGAAGCTTCAAAATTCACAGTGGTGTGGATCAGTTTCGATGGGCTAGAGGACCATTTTCTTTTAAGGGGCTTGTGAAGCGTGTGGAATTGTTAAACCACAGGTTCCTTGGTGGTCAGTGGTTACTTGTATTATATTGCCGAAATGCAGCTATGACCTCCAAGAATTTGCAGCAGAGATGCGTGAGTTTGGTTTCCATATGCAGTATCTGTTTGAAGGATCACTTGTTCCTACAGTGCAGCTAGACAGTTATGAAATTGGTTTGCTGCTGTTCTAATGTGGAACTTGCTTGCATATACATCAGTTGGGGAGCTAGCGACTGGTTTTCCAAAAAAAAAAATCGGCATAATATGCAACTGTTAACCGTGCATATTATGGGGAGCTTTTGGGGAGTTTGAGGTTCGTGTATTGAAAAAAAACAATTATGTGTAATAAGACGTAGCAGAGAAATTACAGCAACTTGTACACAGTATTACAATTTACTCAGTAATAAAATTACTCAAAGCCATGCAAAATACTCAAAAAGGTAAAGGGAAAACCACACAGAACACTGGATTTGTGAGTGCATCAATAGTGGTTCAACATAGAACCCACAAATAGTTCTATATTCTAATTATACATCTAAGTATAGTGCATATCCAACAATTTGTTACTATCTTTGTGAAAGAAAATACGAGAGTAAAATAATACCTCAATTTTAGGCCTCTTGACACTAGATGTTGCAGTCGACTCTAAGTCAGACACTTCTGAACCAGCCAACCGTTTTAAACTATCATTTATGCTTCCAGCAGATGACACAACATTTAAGGGCATAGCACTTGTGTGGCGCCTCATTTTCCTTGTTCCGGTAGTTACATCTTGTGTAATGAAATTTCTTGCCTGTAGACGACACTTTGTCATGGCAACCAAATCTTCACCAACTGCAGCTCTAGATCCATTACCTGGAGCTGATCCTGCTATCCTGTCAATCATACTGATAACTGAGCCAATGTCACTAACTGAGGCACTCAATGCTCTTGGTGACATTGACTTTACCTAAAAGTTAATAAGAATCCGTAAGATACAATTATTCAGAACGAGTTATTAAAAGAAGTGTATAAAATATCACTATGCATTATATATAATGAGTGGAAACTATTAAACACTAACCACTTTTATTAAGCGTTCAAGAGGCTGTTCTGAAACACTTGACTTGCCAGAAACAACAGCTGAGGCATTACCATGATTGCCATCCGGACTAGAGAACTCTGCAAGCAAAGGTGAGGCTGATATACCAGGAGTGCCAATGGCAAGGGATTGGGGTGGCACTAGTGCACCAGTTGTTTGTTGATGTGCATTACTCACAGCATTGGAGAGTGATGAAATGCCAGGATTAACTTTTTCAGACTCCCCTGGCATGGGGGATGGAGCCAGGGGAGTTGAAGGAGATGGAACAACAAAGGGTGAATTTGCAGATTGCAAAGGGGTTCCAGCTTTTGTAAGAGATGACAGAAGATTTTGCTGGTCAATTTGCGGCGAAGGATGCTGAGGAATTTGAGGAGATGCAGCCTGTAGAAGTTGTGGGGAAGAAATAGGGAATGGAGCTGACTTCAACTGTTGATGGTGATAAGCTGACCGCTGGCTTGCTGAGTGATGTTGCTGAAGCATTTCCGATTTAGGACCCATCTGCTGTCTCATCTTTAAGTCATTTACATCATTCATCTGATGAAGCTGTGGCATTTCTTGTGCCTGCATCTGTGCAGGTTGCTGATGCTTAGTTTGCTGATGCAATTGCTGCTGCTGTTGGTGCTGCTGCTGTTGGTGCTGCTTCTGTTGCATTAACTGTTGTTTTTGCATCAATTGTTGCTGCATCTGGCGCTGTTGATACTGCTGTTTCAATTGTTGGCTCTGTAGCGTCTGCTGTTCATGCTGTTGTTTTAGATGTTGATGTTGAAGCATATTGGAATTTGATTGAAGAGGAGTAAGGTTCGGCTGTAGCGCAGTCATCCCACCCTGTGATGATAAGGAGTTAACATTTCCCTGCTGGGGAGCGCTCACAGGATTTTGTTGTAAAGATCCCACAGCAACCTGCTGTAATGAATTCAGTGCATTTCCTTGACCTGACTCTATACTGGAAATAGTCTGCAGTGGATTTATCATGCTCTGCGATGCACTTGATACCCCAGATAAATAAGACAACGAATTATGCTGCAAATTCGCCACGTTGTTTTGTTGCATTGTTGCAACAGAACCCTGTAAGTTCATTGATTGCATCTGGGGGTTCATTTGGTTTTCATGTGGCTGCACTTGAGTAATTTGAGATTGTGGCTGCTGTGTTTGCTGCATGGAATGCATATGAGGTGGGGGAAGTTGCTGCTGCCCTTGCTGAAGTGCAGAACCAGGCCTCCGGGGCCTATTTGAATTAAGAAAATTGATAATTTGTTTCTCATAAGAACCCAACTTGTCCTTGTAACCAGGTACAATATTGCTTTTTGGAACTTGTAAGAATGTTATAATTTTCTCCAACATAGTCTTGAAAATTTTGAGCTTGTCAAGTTGATCATTCTTTGGCTGCTGAGGATGGGAATCATGCTGCAAAATAGTAAGATTTTGTAAGTGTATATCAAGAATCAAAAGTCAATATTGAGAAATCAACACTTCCTTCTTTTTTCTTTAAGTAAAGGTAAAATCCAGATGGAATACAAGAGTTCCCATGGGATATCACACTGTCTCGAACCTTAAATCCCCCTACCCGACTACCCAAAGATAATCGCACCACCAAAATTAAATTGATAAATGTTGATTGAAAGTTATGCCAAGGAAATAAATTAAAAAGATGTAGGCTGATAATTTACCAGCTGCAATTTTCCAGCAATTTTCTGGTACATTTCACTCAGTTCTGGTAAGTACGTCTCTTTCATGGCTTTAATCTGCAAAAGGGTAAAGCTTCAAAATTTCAGGTACCATAGAGATAAATCTACCAATTTGCAGATAACTGAAAGTGCAAGTCATAAGAATTCTTTCCCCCATCACATTCTTTTGCACATCAATCCACTTTTTTATACTTTATAACATAAAAAACACAAGAAAACCAGTTAACAGAAAAGGACATAAGACCAATGGGCCATTAACCAATGGTATAACTCTCCTCCTTCAAAGGGGAGGGGAGGGGTTCGAGCCCCGTAGTGGGTAATTTGCGAAATGTGTATGTGAGTACTTACCTAACCCGAAAAAAAAAAAAAAAAAAAAAAAAAAAAAAAAAAATGAAAAAGATATAGAAAATGTAACTTTCCTAAAAGCCAAATATTTATCCATCATGCATGAAAATCATGCAAGGCGGTATCTGCCTAAAAATGTCAGAAATGAAGCTAAACAATAAAAGAGCCATAGCTATTTTACCAATGTAATTGTACATGACTGCAAGGTTAAAACAATCATTTCGAAGAGTGAGAATTCTTAGTCATTCCACAACAGGAGCAAGGTCGACGGTACCATCCACATGCTATGTCCTTTCTTCCAATAGTTTATCTTGACATAATGCCTACATAATCTCATGGTTCTCAATGAAAATACAGTGGCCATACAAGCTCTGTATCATCAAGAAAGTCGAACTTTCTTGACCTGTTCTTCCAAGCTAAATAGAGCATTATATAGATTGCATAATGTTTGAATTTCTGAACAAATGTACAGCTTCCATAAACAAAATGATTGTATTAGTATATCTTAAAAAAGTGTCTAAGTTGAACTGTATCCAACAAAACAAAAAATGCTAGCCTCAGTGAGATCAGACAAACCATCACATCCACAATGCAAACACAAGAATCCTATTTTCCTCTTAGTTTATGTTGATCCACGCACGTCATTTTTTTTTTTTTTTTTGCCTTTATTACTGTACAAGGCCGATCCCTCTCAAATTGTTTTCTAGTTCAATCACCAATAGTGAGGGTAAATCATGTGATGGGAACTACATAAATTTTGAGCTGTTTATCTTCTAAGAAAGAATGCAGATGCTAATCATCTTTTTCCGGCACTTCACTTATCCCTTCAAGACTTGAGGAAAGATGCTTTCTTTTTTTCTACAATTGATTACTTGTGTGATATTTTTAGTTATCTTCTTTAAAATCCTTTTCACTATCTACATAGCTTCTTGCTAGTTTATATGTTACAGTAGAAACTATCATCAGTTATAATGGCCCCAAGTACCATCTAACATGGAATCTGGATGTCATTTTCAATCCTTACATAGACCCAGACCACCCTGTTTTCCTTAATGTCCAACATCGCAATTGACTTTAATAATAATAATAATAATATAGTACCTTTTGATAGACCTCCTCCTGCCAATCGCCAGTGTTAGCATTTCCTGTCTGAGCTGTGGAATCCAAAGAAGCTGCACCACAAATATAAACTTGTGCATATGTTACCTAATTAAGTATCAATTCGATGGCAAAATTAAGAAACAAAACATAAGTAGCATGATTCATATTTTCCAGCAAAGTAACCCTGCCTTGCAGCTACTGTTTACCACCTATAGCAAGAGAAAATTAAAAAAATATTCAGAAACCTCTCCAGAAATTAAGCCTTGATTCAGCAGGGCATTATTTATTCTATCATAAGTAAAATTGAGCTTCCTTCATCTAAAGGAAAATCAGGTAAACATAAGGATAGTTAGCATCCAAGAAAACCCCGAAGTGATCTTCAGAAAATCTATCATTGGTTTTCCTGGATTCCTGTTAGGTTCTTTTCCCTGTGCGTTTGCTGTCTGGTGTTCCCTTCCTATTTGTTGTTTGGTAGGTTTTGTTCCTCTATTTCTTGCACTTTTTTTGTTTGGTATGGCCTTACTTGCCCTCTTTTTCTCCTGGGGAGGGCCCCTTGTAGTTTTACCATGCCTTTCTTGTTTTGTTTATCTTCTTTTTTTTCCTAGTTGGCACTCAATACTACCCCCCCCCCCCCCCCCCCCCCCAAAAAAATAAAAAATAAAAATAAAAAAGAATTGTTTGCACCTAGCAGGAATTGATCTTGAGACCTGATGCTTCATGAAGCACAAGGGCCCAAGTCTTTTCCAACTAGGCCTACCCCTTGGGGTTCCTTTCCTGTCTTCTATATAAATTTTACTTATTGGAGGAGGGAGAGCAGAATATATAACACCATTTCAATGCTCTGTAACTCAAACCTCTTGTTAATAAGAATGTGAAGGGATTTTTGTTTGTTTTCAAGCACACTTGTAGGCTTCTCACATTTATAGTTTTTCATTTAAGTTGGAAGTCATAGGCTCTAAAACAATCATTTTGCAGCTGAAAAAGAGCATTATGTATTCGCTATTCCCCAATAATACAAATTACAATCACAGAGCCAAGGTCGACCAAGAAGAATATGTGTCACTTCGTGGGAATTATGTCCCACCAACTAGAATCATTAGAAGCACCTTAACAAAGAGAAACAAGACAACAGTTAGTTACCAGAATGAAAATACTACCCATCCAAGACACTTTGTACAGTTGTGCATATGATAGGATTGAAAGATTGAGACACACAACCGTGGCTGCCAAGACAACATACATGCAGCAACGACTACCAATAATAATAGGCTTTGAGTTTCCACAACAAACTAGAATCTGAAAAATAGACATGTGCTGCCAATCGTCTTCCTCGACTCTAGGAATTACAAGGATTCGCCTAACAATGGAGAGAAATCAAACATCTTCTTTGGTCTCGACCAATTCATTATGTTTTACATCCCATAATCAAACAAATTCTCATTATCCTAGCCATTTTATTTATCTCTGGCTCTTCTTCATGTTTCATTCAAGTATGAAAGTTTTCTACGGACATTGACATGCCAAGTACCAATCTCCTCACATCTGATGCACTTGTTTCTCTTCCACTTCCCTAGCTATCCATAAGACCCTTTTCTTTAGGATCAGCCATTGAGAAAAAGATGGATTGGAAACGGTAGGTCGATTTAATGACTGCATTGGTGCTAACTTTGCGCCGCGATCTCAGGATCTCCGAAGGTCTTTCTTCCAAGTCCAATGTAGTTGTTGGGAAAACAACTTCCTCCTTATATTAGACCTTATGCCAGCTATAAATCTAGCAAGCTCTTACCCCGAGTCTTCTACCACTTGACTCCTACTCTTTGATTCACTAAATTTTAAACACATATTCTACCACTGACATGATGCCCTGTGAATCGCATATCATGATAATTGACCGGCATTTACTCTGTAGCCTAGCCTTCATTTCTTGCCATGTGCCCAGATTGTCCCAACCACCAGAAATTTCCTTTATCACCAGTCACCAAACTTTTGCCGCAAACCTCACTCTAAAATCATCACTCATTATCATACCAATCAAACAATTCTCAATTAAATTAAGTCAATCAGAAACAGAATCACACCGACCTTACCTTCAAAATCGGGCATCTCCATCCTCAACGCTTCAACCCTAAACCCAGGCCTTTGGGAAAAATTTGGAGGATGATTTACTTGATTTTCCACTTCTACAATGGATGTTGCTACATATTTGTGCCAGAACTAAATCGAAGTTTACCCTGAATAAAGAAACCATTTCGCTAGAAATGAAGAATATGTCCATTGTAATAGAGATGGTCAGGATACTCAACTCTTATCTGACGCATCTTAATCACAAACAAACTACTCCATAAATATCTAACAATCTACTGCTGAGACTTTGTTACTTAATTAAACCAGAAAAAATAGATTACATTAAGCATACTCTTAAGTTGAGAGATTAGAAATGAGGAAAGGTAAAAATCTGTAAGAATGATATCAATACGGTGCATATATGAAAATGTGAATACCATAAGAGAACAGAAACATGGGAAGCAAAGCTAGACATATTTGAAGTTCCATGACTAAAGTGACATACTTGTGGGCGTCTCTGGCATGGCTCTTTGTGATTGAAATAGCTGCTTCTGCTGATCAACCACATTGTGCGTCTGAAGCAAGGGACCTGATGTTTGTAGCCTCTGCTGCATATCTTGCTGTAATGGAGTTGGCTGCTGTTGCAAACCTAATTGCTGTTGAATTTGTCCAGACTGTGATTGAATCTGTGATATCAATTGCTGCTGCAGTGGCCGTGCTTGTGATTGTTGACCCTGGTTTGGCAACAGTGTAGTCAAATTTTGCTGGGTTTGTTGCTGCACTGGAACCTTAGATTGTTGCATCATATGCACTGAGTGCTGATTAGTCTGCATGCTAGAGTTACCCGACTGAGTGCCTAGTAATTGTTGCTGCTGCTGCTGCTGCTGTAGTGAAGCAACATTACTTTGAGGGCCCAACTGCTGTTGATGCATGTTTGAGAGGTTGTTTTGCTGATTCATTAACTGTTGTTGCCGCTGCAGGTTCGAAAGATTATTCTGCTGACCCAGAAAACGCTGCTGCTGCTGCTGCTGCTGATGCTGCTGCTGTTGTTGCTGCTGCATGTCAGGAATGCTGTTTTGTTGACCAAGTAGCTGGTTCTGTTGCATGTTTGTAGCATTTGGCTGCTGACCCATTAGCTGCTGCTGCTGTTGTGTTGGCAACATTGACTGCTGCTGCTGCACCGCCGTTTGCTGTTGATGAATAATGGGACCCTGTTGTGGTTGTTGTTGTTGCCTGAAATTTGCTTGTGGATGTTGCTGAAGCACAGGTTGTGTTGACTGTTGAACAGAAGTCTGCTGATTCTGTTGAAGGTTAGATAGTGGAGCTGATTGCATGACAGAATGCTGCATAACAGATTGTTGAGAAGACTGCAACTGAGTTGATTGTAATAGGTTTTGTTGTTGTTGCTGCTGCTGCTGCTGTATGTGAGATTGCATGAGTGAATGTGTGCTATTCCCCTGTGGGAATTTCGGCTTCAAAAGCTGCTGCTGCAACTGTTGCTGGTAAAGATAATGTTGTGGATTCTGAGACTGCTGCTGTTGCTGGTGGGGAACAACTTGCTGCCTTCCTTGCATTTGCCTCTGAGAATTGGCATAAATATTAGAAGGAACCCCTTGCCCCATTGAATTTCCTACTGAGTTCTGTGAAACCCCAGAGATATTTTGAATGTTCTGCAAGTTGGAATTCTGACCAACAGCATTTGACATGGTGGTTTGATTTAGACTGGTAACAGGAGGTAGTGCAGGTGTCAAACTTGCGGAACCTTGTACTCCAGTTGCTGCCATATTATTCTGGGATAATAGCTGTTGGCGTACTTGAGCCTGATTGGACGCCATTGGAATAGGAAGTGGTTGCCCTTGGTTGTTAACTTGGGACTGCATGCTGTGAGATGCTGCTCAAAAAAATAAAAAATAAAAACAAATAAAATATGAGAGAGAGAGAGAACAGCACCAGGTTAGGGATGAATGCTTGGAAAAAGAAAAAGATGAAAATAATGACCTAGGACTGCAAATACTTCAAGAAAATAAGTCTTTTCTGAGCCTACATGCCTTACCCAAAATATTAATTTTGGAGAATATTTCTTCAATAAATGTAGAAAAAAAATACCCTGGTTGGAAATCTAATTTGCCCTATAGTGCAGACTAGTTCACCAATATTACAGCCAAATTATCAAATTTTCCAGCCTGCAACATGAGCTACTTTCAACTTCAAGAAACAACATGTGACAGTATGGATAAATATTTGCTTGGGGATGAATTCTAAGACGAAATATTTGCTTCCTAGTGTAGGAATAATTCTTTTTTCAGTCTGAACTATGAGTTGTCTTCAACTTCAAGAAACAACCAGTAGCAGTATGGATAAATATTGGTGAAAATTTCAAAGAGTAAGTATTTGCCTTTGATTACACAGGATGATATTTGCATGATAAAGGCCCAAGGAGGCTTTGAATTAGGAAATTTTCACCTAAATAATGCCAATGTCACTAATTTTGTTTGGAAAAGCATTGCAGATCCTAACCAAATTAACCAATAATGGGTTTATTATGGGGAAAATATATGAAAAGAAAAGAACAAAATGTAACGTTGGTCACACCAGTTCAGAGTACTAGGGATGGTAGATTCGGTGCAGACCTAACCTTCACATTATTTGTATGTAGTGTCTCAAACCTGCGTTCTCAACAAGCGAGGAACCTCAAGCTTTTGGCATTGCACCAAGCAATGGCTTCGAGAAAATTCTTCACTATTAAAACTTCTGCCAAGGAAACTTTTGTGTGCAAAGTATCATGGAATATAAATAAGATACTATATTAAAGGGGCGGGACATCAGTAAGATTTGGCAAACAAGGCCTTTTGGGCAAGCTGCGCGAGAAGGGGGCTTCTTGGAGTCGGCTTTCTTCGCACTCATGACAGAACCTGGATTTTAGGTCATCATCTATGAGATATAAGCAACACAAGAGACAGAGCCACGATATGATGGGACACGGGCATGCCAACACAGTGAATCCTAAAGAAGTAGGATACGAACAGGTTGAGGAAACAGCAACAAGGAAAATATTTTAGGCATGTGAAAACTATATTTGACAAACGTTGTTTCTTTTTGTGTTCTCTTTTTTCTTTTTATAAATAAGATCTCATTAAAGAGTGCACAAAAAAAGGAGCGCATCCCATATGTAACTTACGAGTCATAATAAACAACAATCATCTCGCATATAAGCAATGACCCAACATGGACACAACATATATTATCTTTCATTCATCACCTGGATCTGGAGGATTTTTGCTATTAGTGGAAGGGTTGGACGTAAGAGGAGTAGCCATAGTATTTTGCGATTTGTTCTCCATCGTCAGCATTTTCAGAGATATTTTTCTCAAATAATCAGACTGCAATTAAAAATTAAGAGAAATTATTATCTCTGGAGTAATACATAACAATAAACTGAACCATTAGTCATAAAAAGATGAAAGGTAAAATATAGCAAGAATATAATTATAGAACAGAGCGTACAATGCAACATGCACGCTAGAAAAATTAAGAGAGGCATCATGATAAATATACCTGACTTGTTGCAGCAGTATAGATCTTTTCCTCAAACCTAACAGCAATTTTCTTAAGTTCTTGTAGTCCCTCTTGTCCAGAAAAGGGAAGATGCCTCTTCAAAGTCTCCATTCTATACATGTCAAACATTACATTTCAAATGTTAAACAAACATAACTACTAATTGAGTATAATATAGTTAATGGGATACTCTTAACTTTAACTGATTAATGGGGTGTAACTTAAGTGCTTATATACTCAATGCGCCCCGACAAGTGGCCGGACTTCCCCCATGAGAAAGCAAAACATGTGCATACATTATAATTATCAAGATGAACAGATTGATTTATTTGCTCTCTAGTTAGTTTACCTTTTTGTCGTTATATTTGTTAAAATTCAAAAACTAGTTAAAATCAGTAAGTAGAGCAATTCAACCTATTCACGTCCCTCTAGATCTAGATCACAGCCTTGCACTTACTTCTACATCAGAATCTGGAGTTTTGGTTCTAATCCTTCACATGGCAATAATAGAGTGATTACATCAAGAAATTATAGGGTAAAAAAATGGAAAAAGAATTTAAGTTGGAACATTTCAGCTTTGGTATCAAATTAATGCAAAACAACACTAGACACAAGTAATGCTGCCTAAAGTAAGACTTATGAAATATGATACGCTAGGTTAGGGACGGCTTTGACTGAGGCTGTGGCCTTAAATACAGCGGAATGGAAGCATAGGATTCATGTAGCTGACCCCAAGTAGTTGGGAAAAAGGCTTGATTGTTGTCGTCGTTAGGTTAGGGACAGCCTGCACATTTATGGGAATATAAGATAGAAGAACGGTTAGACGCTTTGAGGATTCTAAAGGGCCATAATTTGCTTCGTCTTAAAAGTGACTACTTGACCCATTTTCCCTGTTCCTTTTGCCTTAAAATTTACATTGAAACAGTGTCTTGAAAAAAAATTGAAGAAAACTTGAGCGGCAAGTTGTTAGAGTTAGGGTGTAAAAGATGGGATGAAAATTCGAACAAGATGGGGCCAACTCATTATCAAACACAAAATCTGATTGCAAAGAATTAATAAAATAGGAGGAGGAGGAGAAGAAGAATATTCTAGGAATCCCGGCAATCACACATAAACACAAGATATACATGGTTCAGCCAAGACCGGCCTACGTCCGTGGATGAGAAGAGATTCCACCATGATTCGTAGAGATATTACAACAATCGAGTACCAACACCACCACTCCACGAGAGAACCTTACAGATCAATGTTAAGGGCCCAAACAAGAACAAAAGACACAAGATCATAATCATTGAAATGATATCAACAAGGCTAACCATCCTAATGGCATGTCTGGCTCCAAGCAGGAGCATACGCAGAAAATATGCACCTCACAGGTGCCATGGCTAATGGCAAAAATCAATGGACATGAGTTGGCAGGTACTTTCCTGACATTGAGTAAGATAAGCCATGGGACAATCTTCTCACACTCTCTTTTTATGGGGCGGCATGGGTGATGATTTGAAGTACCCCCATGTGTGGTGGCGCAGACCTTTAGACCAATTCAGAAGGGAGGGCTGGGAATGAGGAGATTGGACTTGTTCAACAAAGTTTTGTTGGGCAAGTGGTTGTGGAGGTTTGGACCCATTCAGAAGGAAGGATTGAAAATAATAGGAAAAAACCTATTGGAATCACACCAACAGGGCCTAGGCATCACACTTGGAGAAGGCATCACACCCTCATAATTTGTGAATCACTCACAAAGAAATCTCAAATATATTTTTATTCATTCATTCACTCCCTCACCAAGATTCCATTCTACCCCTTTTACAACATTCTGTGAGTGTAGCTCATTACCCTTGGAGTCCCCATAATTAAAGTAATCAAAAGTTAACTCTATAACATAATAAAAGTAATCACCCCATAATTAAGGCAATCAATATTTGACTCTAGGATTACCCCATAATTAAAGTAATCAACACCTACCTAATAGCATAATTAAAGTAACTAAAAGTTAACCAAATCTCCCAATTATTCAAAACTCCATGTGGATCCATATTATCTAGCCTATGCCAACTCGAATCTTAGAATCCTCCTTTTGGTGCCTTTTATACACCTTTAAAGATTTCTGTCATTGATCTCCATCAGGTACCTCCCCAAATCCCTACCCTCGCTTCACGGGTTACAAGTTCATCAGTAATGACACCCGCTTCAACCACGACCAATCCCATTTTCCACAAACTTAGGAAAAACAACATCATAAACTTATGGAAATTCAATAATCACACTTGTTTTCCACCCCACACACACTCTATGCAATGCAAATGAGCAATTGTGGCTTCATGATGTGTCCTTAGGAATGTTGTTACTCAAGGTACCTTTGTAAACCAAATGAAGTCAATCATAGCGAGTTGGCATGGTATGCATCATGACATACACATGTGTGAGTTATGTCATAGTGACATTGTGGAGTTGATTGAGTTCTTGCCTTTGGTATTGTTGATTCTTCATGCTTTTATTGGATATATGTGGGAAGTGTTTATAATTGACTACTGTGGATATGTGAAAACTTGTAAAAGTTGCTATGTACTCTTAACATATAACATATCTCCTTGTTAATAGTTGGATCATGACTTGCTTACTTGTCAAGTTGTTTGACGTTGGCTTACCATGTTATGAACCTACAGCTAGGGAGCATGACCCCTCTTCCATCTTTGTCTTGTCGAGCACGCTTATATGTTTCTAGGAATCCAAGAAATATAGTTTATTTTGTTATTATTCCATCCTATTGGGCATTCGTGCCCACCCCCGTGGACTTAACATTTTTTTTTAGGGTATTTCTTGCTAAGGAGGACTATAGCTTGCAGACACACATTGTAGCATGATTTTGTGGACTTGAAACTCATCTTTGGAACATGTTTAGTATTTTTGATGTATAAATTCAACTTATATCAAAACAAACTTGAAAATTGGAAAAGGCAACTTAGCCGCCTAAGTGGGAACACTTGGTCGTCTAATTGGGCATTCCAGAACATAAGGTCAATAATTGCGAAGGGCACTTAGTCACCTAAGCAGTGATACTTAGTTGACTAAATGGACATTTCTGCAGCTAGGCCAAAATTCCGATAGGAAACTTAGTTGCCTAAGTGGTCATACTTAGTGACTAAATGGACATTCCAGTAGAAGTCAAAAATCCAGAGAAGACACTAAGTGGGACACATAGATGCCTATCTCGTCACACAAGTTGGTAAGCAATGTTCAGAAAGGACACTAAGTTAGGCGGATACACTTAGACACCAAAATGACTTTTCCAGTGAGTTGCAGAATTGTGGACAGGGATACTTAGTCGCCTAAGAGAGACACTTAGTCGACTAAAAGGACTTTGAATTTTAATATCCGATTTTCAAATTCCCTCCACATCAGCACTAAAAGGGCCAAATGGTTATATTTCCTAAATTGACTATAAATAGAAGTTCCCTTGGCCCTTGAGCTTTCATCACTTGCTTCATCTAATTACTCTAAAGTGAGCTTTGATTTGTAGATCTATCACTGAGGGATATTCCTTGTTGTACTTAAACTTTTATCTGTTCTTGAGAGATTGTGTAAAAGGGTTGGTGTAACCCATGAAGACTAAGTAAGGCGTTCACTTAGCAAGAAAGAGAAGCTTCTGAAGTTTTGTAAAGGTTTGCTCTCACCCGTTGAAGGGGAGTAATGATTTTGGAATCCTCAAGAGGCGCTCTTAAGGCGTGGGCATTGCCAAGAAGGTGCCGAACCACGTTACGACTCGGTGTTCCTTGTGTTTGCATTCCTCTACCCTTATCGCTGTTTACTTTCAGCTTGTATACATAATTGCTGAATTTTTAATTTGAATCAATATGGTTGCAGAATTCACATAGTTTGACAAAAGATGCTATTCAACAACAACACCCACCCGCCCCCCCCCCCCCCCCCCCCCCCCCCGGGGGGAGCTCATTATTTGGGTAACAGAGAGGATCCTTGGTGTGGCGAGAGGCCACTACTCACTAGAGAGTCTTTCCAAGATTGCGGAAGACAGGCATGTGTTGGTTGCCCACTGCTATCATCTTGATGATGGGAGGATGATCTGGGATGTGCACTTTGAGAGGCTTTTGCATGACTGGGAGGTAGAGGATATAGTTGAGTTCTTGGCTATGCTTTATAGCCAGGCTACCTTCAAGGTAGGGATGGATGAGTGGATATGGACGGCTTTGAGCCATGGGAGATTTGGCATACGGTGTTTCTATTGCCAGCTGATGGATGCTCAGGGGATGTCCTTTCCTTAGAATTTGGCTCTCGAAAGCTCCCCTGAAGGTGGTTTATTTGGTTGGACAGCTGCTTTGGGGAGGATTTTAACCATTGACAATTTGAAAAGGTGGCATCAGATTCTTGTCAATTGGTGTTGAATGTGCAAGAGGGGCGAAGAGACGGTAAATCATCTCATTTGCATTGCCCTGGGGCAAGGGATGGGTGGGATATGTTGTCTACCATCTTTGGAATCCAGTAGGTCATGAAAGAGTCCACGAGTAGTTTGATTGATGCTTCACACGGATGCCAAGTGCGTTCCCACATCAGGAATATGCGGAGGACTTCCCCCCTTTGTCTTTGGTAGGCCTTATGGAGAGCAAGGAATAGGAAATCCTTTGAACGGCTGGAGCTCCTTGGGAGTGTTTAGATATATAGTTCTTACTTCCCTATTCTTTTAGGTTCAGGGCCCTGATTGTAAATCTGTAGAGATTCTTTTGGATTTTGTGGATAGATTGAGGCAATAGTTTTTGTGCAACTTGCTTTGGGACTCGTCCCCCTTTTGGATGCTCTTTAATGAATACTTATCAGGAAAAAAAAAAAAAAAAATTGGATCAATAATTTCAATTTCTCCCCGCCCCCCCCCCCCCCCCCCCCCCCCCCAATCTCTTTCTTTTGACGAATATGTTTTAACTAATTGATTCGTAAATATTAATATCATAAAGTGATCCATAAAATAATTATAATTTTACAAAACATATACATTTTTTTTATAAGTAAAAGTATTGCATATATATATATATATAACTTTGCAACAAATATTTGAACATGGAATACTCATTTCAATTTTTTTTATTTTCTTTTTATAAGATTTCATTAAAAGGCGCTCAAGAGGGGAGCAGTTCTAAGAAAACACAAATAAAGCAAAAAACGACGACTGCAAACTCAAACTATTAACAAAATCAACAAGTTCCCTCACAGATTTACAATTTTGCCCATTTAGCTAAAAGAATAAAGAGCTCAAAATACTTTATTTGAGAGACCAAATAGGAGTCTGTCTCTTCTCCATCAAAAGATCTCCAATATCTCTCACACCACAAGCCCCGCCATAAACAAAGGGGAGTGGCCCTCTAGAAATCTCAGGCTCAGCTCTCCACCATACACCCTCTCCAAGCCTCACTTCTGTCCATTGTGGAGCCAGGAGACACCCAAAACATACCAAAAGCAGCCAAAAACATAGACCAAACATCTCTCGCCATTGGACAATGATGGAGGAGGTGATTCACTAACTCCTCTGTCTTTTTGCACAAGCAACAACAATTTACCACAATCTGGCACCTCCTTCTTCTAAGGTTGTCCAAAGTGAGAATCCTCCCAATAGCAGCTGACCGGGCTTTCAATTTCCAGACGACCTTCCAAGGGAAGGACGGACCCAGAATCACCAAGAAGCTTTGGTAAAAAAAAAAAAAAAAACAGACTCAAAACACTCCTTTCGGGGAGTCCATCCAGACCATCTCATCCATCCCCTGACTATATAACAGAAGACAAGAACTCTACTACCTCCGCAAGCTCCCAATCATGGAAATCTCTACAAAACTACACATCCCAAATCATCGTCCCACTATCCAGGCAGTAAAATTTGGCGACCCAGGTATGTCTGTCCATAACGATTCTGAAGAGCCATGGAAACCTGCGGGCCAAAACAGTGTCCCCACACCATAGGTCCTTCCAAAATCTAACATGTCTTGCACTCCTAACCTTGAAGCGAATGAATTATGGATTACTCATGTCTCTTCTCCCTTAGAAAATTTTCTAAGTATAATATAATTTACACTAAAACCAACCTCAAAACAAACAAATTGGATCCCTTGGGTGATTACTGAAAGTATCGTGAGTGCATAAACTAATTTAATAATTAGCAATTATCCCAATAAAGAGTTAATATATCATAAACTATGGATTAGTTATATCTCCTGTTGGTAATGAAAAAATTTTGCAAAAATCCTCTAAACTTCAAGCTCAGGAAGATATGAATGGATCCTTCAAGTAAAATGTTCAATTCTATCTACTAATGCTCTTAAGTGCATGTGAAATTTAAGCCTCTAATCCGACATGTGCAATAGCCTTGTAAGGCAACACTCATAACATTCTAGTAGAAAAACTACATAAAGCTTGTATTGGGTTTAAGCCTCTGATCTGACATGTGCATAAAGCTTGTTAGTACTAAACTCTAAACCGTCATGAGAACATACTACTAGGTTACATTCTAGGTTTCAAATGATATGATCATTGCATGAATTAGTGAGACCTAATCAAGTAGGTAAAAGACTAAAGACTTAGATAACTTCAGAACAAGCATAGTAAGACTGAACTAATTTAGAAAGGCCATTGAGCAGACATGAACACCCAATAATACCTTCGGAAATCTAGTAATAAAAATAAAATCACTATTGACAATTCTATCTTTTCTTCTCAAGCGGATTCTGATTTTAGATTAGACTAACAGCGTCACATATGCATGTTCATATATTTATCCTATCCAATGTCAAGAGTACTGCAGCTAGTTCCATGTGCTAACAGATACATTTCATCCATAAGGAATTAAGAGTGAAATTTGCTAATGATCCATGGGATTAGTGCATTTGTTTCATGCATGTAGCCGTATTAGAATAACTTCTGATTCTTCAGCAACAAAACTAGTCTACTTTATCAGTTTATCTTATATTGGGAGCCTAACATTGCATTTATTGGTAAGTTACATGGTTTGTGCTCAGTACCCTTATAATTAAGAAAAAGAAAAGGGATGAAAGCATCTGTACTTTGCCTTGGCCACTGTCCTTGTTGCATTTTGATGTTACAAATTTGAAACTGTCCGGTTATGTTGGGTACTAATAAAGCCTAAAAGTAGATCAGTCCATTCTACAGCTTGAGTGAGTTGTTGAGGTGAAAAGTGATGCATCATACAGAAGAAAAATTCTTACGCGCAAAGGAACTAAAGTTATCATCCTAATGGATTTGGTTCACCAATAGTTAAGAACAAAAACAAAGAAAAAGTATGATTACAATACAAATGCATCCAATTGCCTCCCAGTGTTCTATACGAGACACAACCCTTTCCATTATATATATATATATATAAATATATATATATTTTAGATAAGTCCCTTTCCATTATATTTAATGATCAGTAATCTATCCTAGGAGCTTGAACAAATAAACATAAAAGATGAATTCCATCTCACCGTGTCCCCATGGCCCTCTATCTTAATGCAAGGACAAACTACAAATTAATCAAAATTTGTACCCTGTACCATAAATTCGAAAAGGAACATTTTAAAGCCAGTACTTCAAAGAAAATACATCATTTACAAAGCATATTTCTAGCTCCTTCAAATCCAGTTCACACATTGCTCATCAGCAAATTGCATGAAAAAAACTCTCCCTTTCCACAACAACTAAGACTAGCACAATTGCAAGTATAACTCCTACGATAGAAAAATCTCAGAAGAAGTATATCAGTAAATACTAGTAATCACTCAGTCATAAGCTCCCAAATGGTCATGCATCGATCATGGATATATATGTACTCATAAAAATGTATGTAATAGTCTAAAAAAAATAAGAGAATTGACATTTGATATAAAGATATTTATGGCCAAAAAAAAACACTTACATCTTGTTGACAATCCTTTGTCGCGAATCTGCTTGTAGCTGAGTCCTCCAATCGCCTGCATCCAGCGGTGGTTCACCACCTTGTGCAGGCCTCCAGTTATTGGTATCCATAACCACCTGATCTAATAACAACCAAATAATCACAATTTCCCTTCAAATTCAGCTCAAATACTAACAAAATTAACTATTCTTTCAATATTAATCTCATATATATATATATATGTATAACTTGAAGACGAACCAGTTAACAACAGAAATAGAAAACACAGGTGCTAAATCGCCAACAACGACCCGATTAAGAGAAGACTGTATGGTAGAGAAGTTTTTTCAGTCTTTTCTTCTACAAATTTATCAGATTGAGACAAAACCACTAACCCACACAAAGAATATGTTAATGTTTATTTATTTATTCCCGTCAATACTTTGAAAAGTATGTACACACAAAATTAACAAAAGCGTAGTTATAAAGCAAGTACAGATTAGGCTCTCGCGATGGCCAACCGTGCATCTGTTGGACCAACTCTGGTTGAACCGCACAGGGTTAGACCGGTTTGACTGAACCGGGAAACAAATCAAACCGAAGGAGCTTCACCACAAGGGGAAGAAGAAAAACGAAGAAGAAGCACCTGTGATGCGGAAATTTAATTCAGAAAAACAATTCATTTGATTCAAAAATACAACCTTGGATATCGAATTAGAAAATTTCACTTAGAGATTGAATTGAGCCCAGAAACAAATTTCTGCAAAATACAAGAGGATGAGACAATCGAGCACATAATATCTTAAATTTCATCCTCTTGTGTATATATATATATATGTGTCTATGTATATAGGTATAGAGGAGAGTGAAGCTCAAAAAAATTCGGAAAATGGAAACTAACGGAGGACGTTGTTGTAGATCCAGACAATACCTGATGTATTTTACCAAGAGGTTTGAATTTAATGTCAATCACCTAGTGCCAAGTCATATATTCCATTCAGACTAGATAAAGGGAGGTAAGTTCCACGCTTTTGAACAGCACTCAAGAAAATAATAATAATAAATAAAATAAAGTAAAAATCATTCACTAAATCAACGCTCAAAAACACCCCTAGGTGATTGGCTTGTAACTAAATCCAAATAACCTGCAAATAGCTTCAATATTATTTAAGTATGTATATTATTTAAGTATGTGTATATAAATTTCTATAATTTAAAATTTGTATTAACAAATTGTTCTCTGATTATTAATTTTGACCAAATTTTTTTATAAATTTCAAAATACCTTAAAGGCATTTTAAGTATTTCAATCTTTAATTTTTTTAAAAAAACTCTAAATTTTTGTGAACCCCCCCAACCCAAAAAATTTAGGTTTTTTTATTTATTTATTTATTTTTGACACTTTACCCAATCAACAAAGCCAATGAGATAAAAATAAAATTTAAAATTTAAAAAAAACTTTTGAAATGGTGATTTTGCATTTTACCACTCTTATTTTGAGTACTAGTAAAGTTCAATAAAAAGCAAAATAAAAAAGTTTCAATGAATTCAAATCCACTTTAAAGGTAGAATTTTATATTTTGAGGAGCAGTGTCGCTCCCCAGTTCACAGTTGCTCTTTTGATTTGTAAAAAAATTAATCACAAAAGCATATTAATTGCATCTTTTCTGTTTTTTTTAACATTAAAAAAGGTTTTAAAAAAGTTAAAGACAAAATTGCCCTTTCAATTGGCCTGCCTTTTCGTGTGTGTGTATGATATATATATACACCTAACTTTTTCAAAAAATTCGATGTGTGCATATATATAAATATATAGATATATAAACAACTATATTTTGGATTCTCTCCTTTTCTTTTTTTCCTTCCTTTCCAATTATCTTCAATGCGTCATATATATATATATATAACACTTTCCTCATCTATCGTTTGCTGGGGTCAGATCAGTAGATCACCACCATAATGCCTCTCCATCTTTCTTTACAAAGTCGTCCACATCGCTCCCACAAAATAACTATAACTCAATCCCACAATTTTACAAGTAAAACTCAATATATAAATTTACTTCAACTAAAACTCACGATCATGAAAACTCATATTTAAAGTTTTTGTATTTATATATATATATACATACTATTATTAAAAGTTCAAGAATTTCAAATCATCATTAAAAATAGATAAATAATAAAATAAATTACCAATTAAAAAAAATCTTAGTGTACTCAGAATTTTTTAAGGCTAAAACAACTAGAACAAGTTATCAATTAAAATTGATAGGGAAAAATAAACATAGCCTACCTTGACCTAACGATAGAGGCAACTAAGTGTTGACCAGCCACCAGACCTCTTCGACTTTCAAATGATAATATTTCCATTGGATAAGAATGATAATATTTCATTATCAAGGCTAATGAAAGATGACGTGGTTCAGCAAGGTAAAGATAACCTTGGCACAATTTGAGGAAGTCAAAAGGGTTAAATCATATCCCCGACAAATCTGACAACAAACAGATCTCCTCTGATCTCGCATAAGCGGATCTCCTCTGATCTCGCACAAGCGGATCTCCTTTGCTCCCACAAATCAACTGAGGGAGAGCGACAATAAGAATGAGATCCTACCACAATAAAGGTACGACAAAAAACTATTATTAAATTCTTGTCTTTCTTTTAGACCTCTGGTGATTGACTTGATCGTCGAAGAGCTCTTGGCAGGCACCACACCGGTGCCGTCAAGATTCATCGAACTTCTACTCTCTTCTTTGCAGAAAAACGGTGTCGTATCGGATCGCATGGATTTCACCCTCAACAGTTGGTGCCGTCTGTGGGAACGATGATTCTCTTAAATCAATTAATTACTCGGTTGGGTATATGCACTTGCGGTCCGGTATGGTAACTGGAACAAAAATATCGTTGCAGGGATCCAGCCAAAGAGAAGGGTAGGGTGAACACCCAGACGTCTCGAATGACCAGGAACAGCTTGCAGCGTTAGAACTATAGGTTTAAACTTTGAATCAGAGTATGAAATACTTGATCCAACAAAATGCAGAAAGCCTACAACATCTTATCCCAGTGGGACCACCACCTCAATAAGAATTTTCCGACCCATATCCTCTCAATCTGAATGATGGGGGACAACACGAGGGGCATCGAGAAAACGATCCTCCTCACAAGTTCGAGGCAGAGCAAAGCCAAGTCAGAAACCGACACAGAGAACCTCCTTCCCCACCTCTGCAGAATCCCCAACCTTAAATAGGCACAACCTTCTATGTTAAGGAAAAGACAAAGAAAGTTACCTATTTCGACCTACAGATCGATGATCTCAAGGCGATAATGGAAGATGTAATGCAGGCTATGAAAGGGAAAGGTCATGCCGCCATAGATGACCTGGTGCAGAGGACCAACTTGCCGTTCAGCCCCATCATTATGAAATGCCCCTTGCCTAACAAGTTCAAGATGCCCTCGTTCAAAAACTTCGATGGGACCAAAGATCCCCTCTATCACCTGGAGACCTTTCAAGCTCTTATGCATTTACATGTCGTACCAGATGAAATCATGTGCCGAGCTTTTCCCACTACACTTAAGGGATCAGCAAGAGTTTAGTTCATCAAGCTGAAACCAGGAACCATCAACACCTTCGAATAATTGAGTAAGCAATTTGTGAGCCACTTCATTGCTGGTCGGAGGCATAGGAGGCCAGCCACCTAGCTGCTTACCGTGAAGCAACAGAAGGGAGAGTCGATCCGGGAATACATCACTTGATTCAACACAGAAATGTTGCAGGTAGAAGAGGTGGACGATAAGGTAGCTTTGACCGCTTTCATAGAAGGACTCCAAACCTCCAGATTCTTGTTCGCCATATCAAAAGAACCTCCCACTAGCATGGCAAAGTTGTTGATCAGAGCCCAGAAACACATGAACGCTGAAGACGCCATGAATGCACGGAAGGGAAAAGAAGGAGAGGACAAGAAGAGGTCAACCCCTCTCACTAGGGATGAAAATCATACCAGCTATAAAAGATCATTCTTCAGCCAAAGCGACAGGACATATCGTGAGGAGGACTCAGATAAGTATACCGACTAACAATTGTCTCACAGCTGGAGTTAGCCTTATCAAGTCATTCAAAATAAAAGACTAGGGGCATCTCAGTTCATCATTTTAAATGGAGGGTAGCTCCTTCACGTGTTATTTTGTTTTCCAATAAAGTCACCATCACCAATGAGATGGATGACCCTCAATTTTTACGCAATAAAATATTACGTTTTCAGTTACCTACCTATGTGGTAATATTAAGCTCATAATAATCTACTTATCTTATTAAAGGGACGAGAGGCCGACTACACCTTATTAAAGGTTTTCTCATTAAAGGGACCAAGGGCCAACAATACATTATTCCCTCATTAAAGGGATAAGAAATCGATTACTTCTTCTACACAGAAGGGTAAGATAATTAAAGCTTCCTTTATTTACTAGAGAGGCGAGACGACTACCTCTCGTATTAAAGGGGTCACCCTCTTTCATATTACACCTCTTTTCCCCATAAAGGAACGAAGGGTCAACTTCATTTTTTTCCCTCGGTAAAGAGACAAAGGGTTAACTCCTCCCTTATTAAAGGGTGAACTCACAACGCTCGAGCAAATCTACTTCCTTTATTAAAAGGGGTAAGAAAGTAATCATCAAGCATACTTAGCTCAGTACGACTTGGCATTCTCGACGCTCGACAAAAATTCAATTCCCTTACTAAAAGGACGAGCTGAGTGAAGCTCGTAAAACCTAATTCCCTTACTAAAGGGATGAGCTGAGTGAAGCTCGTAAAACCTAATTCCCTTACTAAAGGGACTAATTGAGTGAAACTCGTAAAATTTAATTCTCTTACTAAAGGGACAAGCTGAGTGAAGCTCGTTCCCTTATTAAAGGAGTGGCGAGCTGAGTGGAACTCGTAAAATTTATTCATTTGCCAAAGGGATTGGCTGACTGAAACCCATGAAGTTTACAACTAGTTTATTGGATTTTCAAAAGAAAAATTCAGTTTTACATCACTAAAAGTCACTGACCATGGGTTTGAATCCACACCCTTCCAAAACAGAAACTTGATTTGGTATCTGTATTAATTCCACCATAGAGAAAAGTACCCAATGGAAGATTACCTAATGGAACATTACCCAAGGGCAGAGTACCCACGGGAACATTTCCCAAGGGAAGAGTTCCAAGGGTACCAAAAAAAAAAAAAAATTACTGTTCATGTGAACAGTAACCCACGGGAACAGTGCCCAAGGCAAAAAAAAAAAAAAAAAATTACTATTCATGTGAACACTAACCCACGGGCATTATTCAGGGGGGGGGGGAAGTTTATTATTCAAGTGAACAGTACCCCCAGGCATTGTTCTCGAGGGAACAATGCCCAGGGCAAAAAATAAAAAAATAAAAAAATTACTATTCAAGTGAACAGTACCCCCCCCGCGGGCACTGTTCCCAAGGGAATAGTGCCCAGGGCAAAAAAAAACAATTCACATTCCCAAAGCTAGACGAGCAAGCTTAGGAATGGGGGACAACTGATAGGGAAAAATAAACCTAGCCTTCCTTAACCTAACGATAGAGGCAACTAAGTGTTTACCAGCCGCCAGACCTCTTCGACTTTCAAACGATGATAATTCCATTGGATAAGAATGATAATATTTCATTATCAAGGTTAATGAAAGATGATGTGGTTCAGCAAGGTAAGGATAACTTTAGCACAATTTGAGGAAGTCAAAAGGGTTAAATCATACCCCCGACAAATCTGGCAACAAACGGATCTCCTCTGATCACGCATAAGCGGATCTCATCTGATCTCGCACAAGCAGATCTCCTCTGATCCCACAAATCAACTGAGGGAGAACGACTATAAGAATGAGATCCTACCAGTCAATAAAGGTACGATAAAAAAC